GCTTTTACAAGTACACATTAGTATCATACAAGTACTGTGGACAATACCCACAGGAGCAAATTCGGGTGAATTGTCTTGCCCAAGGACACAACGGCCTGACGCAGTGGCGGCGGGAGCGGGTTTCGAACTGGAATTCCCCAACACCCCCTTGATCTGATGATCAAACGCACAGCCCGCTGCGCCAATCTTACCTTGCCTTTAAGGGTTACTTCACCCAATTGACATCACATCATTCACTTTTTTTAATTTCAGGAGCAATGGTACTTCTTTCTCACAGAGACATTGTATTTATGGAAACATATTTAAATCAAATTAACATTTTTTGTGGAAAGAGATGTTGCTTTCTATTTTATTTGTATCCTTTTTCATTACTAGGCACCGTGAACAATTTCATTCACCTGCACTGTATTATTAAAAGATGATATCTTAAATGCCAGAACATTAAACTGTCTGCATAGCTGGATTTCATGCAAGGTAAATGAGGAAATACTTTTCTTATAATTTCGCCGCTTGTGCCTTTTTATTATCTACCAACTAATTAACTCAACATTCCACAATGTGGGTGTAGTCTTTTGAAAAGAGGAACACATACAGGCAGTGCTATAACCCTCTGGTTTTTAAACTGTGATCCAGGGACCCTCAAAGATGCTTTAGGAGATTCCAGTGTGCTCCCCAAACCATATAAAGAAGAGTCTAGACTACAATATAGCTGCCCTAGACATATAAACACTTAAAGTTACTGTGATCGTTTTCACTCACTTTTATCTCTGCATGCACATTGTAAACAATTATTTGTGCATCAACTTTCCAAAATCTGTTCTCCTGTTCAAGGTCATGGCAGTAACATATTTCAGGAAACAAGATGCAGAGTAATTACTGCATAGGTTGCCTTTCATTACAGACTACAGTAAGATTCAACTATATAAATACAAGTATGATCTAATACTTCAAACAGAGTTGTAGTTCACATACGCTAGGCTGTCTTGCTCAAGCAAATAAAGACCTCATGTCATAATTTGCTCGGTTCAAAGTTTTTGTGGTGTCTAGCTGGAGCCATGACGCCCCCAAGTCCTCCGAGCTCTCGTGCAAACCTTCACGGAGTGTAACATACACACGAAACTCACAGACATATGTTTGCTCTTATAGAGACTGAAAACCTCTCCAACAACATATGGAAACCATAGTGGTTTCCGTACTGGTGTCAGCAAGGATATGGTTTAGCCAGTGTGATTACATGTTGATGTTACAAACAGTGCCAAGGAGTGCTGAGCGGAGCAAAGATCTGGTTCATGTGTGGAGTGTAAAACTCATGGGCACAACTTATCTGTTTTTCAGTCGACCAAATATGCTCACACAGGCATTCATAAACGAGTCAATAAGATACCACAACCAGACTTGCAGACAAACTCATATTCACGATATGCCCTCTCTTACCCCTCAGCCTGATCTTATGATCCTCCAACTAGATGTTCTGTATGAGCTTGCTGAATCCTGCCCCATTTGTTATCTACATTAGCACAACCCCTGAGGACACACATTCAGAAGTCAGCAGTAAAACCTTATAACTTTGAATGTTGCAAGGTGGAACTTATAAAAGTATGTTCCCTGCTTTGAAGTCATCTGTATGAAAGGAATAGGAGAGCTTAAGTTACTCCAGTTGAGCTTACAGTACAGGTCACTGACCCAATCAAAGCAGCTTCTCAGTGTGAGTGAAAGTGGTCTGACTGTATATATTTTAGTGCCAGGTGTGAGGGTTTTAATTTACACACTTGAGTTTGTGAGGGTTCATGCCCTGGCAGGCTCCTCCCTCTCTGTGTGTGTTTGTATGAGTGTGTGTGGTGGCCTATATGTACACATGTGCCTCAAAAAACTATTAAGGCTCAGTCCATCGCGCTTTGACTGGAGTTCAAAGTTTGCACCTGGTCCTCTGGTCATAAAACGGTAGTTAGTGTAATGCCTTTTAAATGAGCTTCCAAACGAGCATGGCTGTAACATTAAACAATGACGCATCTCTACGGCAACTCTGCTGCTATTTTCAAAGCGGTCTGTTTGTCTGACGGCTTATCTTTCTTATTGTCCCTTGCATGGTGTCCCTGATAACATAAATGTGATCAAACCTGGAAAGTGAATCAAATCTCAGCTACAGAACATGGGAAAAAGTCTGGAATCTTTTACAGCCTGTGCCCTGTGCAACTACTTCTTCAGTAAAAGCTGTTTAGTCCTCCATCCTTTTATCTGATGCCCCACTTTTCTCACTTATCTAAGCACACAAACTTGGAAAGCAAAGTTTTCTTTTCATTTCAGATCCTATCCTTTTTCAAAACCCTCCGCAGTGTTTCTGGTTTATTTTTCTGAGATTTTCTCAAACTACTGCTCTCTTGCATCCTAAACCAAAAACAATTGTAGGTCATAAACTGCATTTTGCATACACGTGCAGCACGCATCGCCTACTATCAAACAAAACTGCTTTTGTCTCATTCGTCTCACATTCCCAGACTCTTTCCCTGTGGTTTGTGGTGTTTGTTATTCCCTTCTTTCACCTTGCCTCCTTTCTTTAAGTGTGGGTGAAGTCCGAGAGCAATCGTAACCTTCTTCTGAAATAGCATGGTGATTCACTTGGGTGGTCAGGAGAGGCGGGCTCACATGGCGAGATCATTTTCCACAACTGATTCCAGATTGCTGACCTGTCGTGATTAGTAAGTGTTATGTAAACTAGGGGTTTTATAAAAAAGGGCAGTCTGCATGTTCAGTCTCTCCTCTCACCTAGGCGCTGTTGGTTGTCAGCACACTGATGCTTTTTACACTCTTTCTACATCATTTTTTCTGAATGTATTTCATTGTATTTCATGTGGGTTAGTGTGAACTCTGCTCCTCGTTAAAGTTGGCATTTTGGAGACACAATTGGGTTTTTACTATATAGCAACTGTCACCATGGCACCACCAGTATCACTAACTGTTATCATACAGTAATCAGGGTGACTGCCGGCAGTGGCCCAGTCCTGAATTTCCTGGCATTGACTCACATCCACCTGACGTCCTCCCTCTCTCAGCTGTGTTTCTCTGCTTCCTCCCTCCATCTGGTTATACTCTTATCTTCCAGGGAGTGTGAAGGGAGAGGGGCAGCGGGGGTGATTATACAGACTGCTACTCTGTGTCAGGTGTCTGTTTGTGTGTGTTGGCACGCGCCAAATGCATGTTTTCTGATGTATGCACATGCTTCTACAGCCTGCCTGTGTGTTTACTTTCAACATCCGAACAATGTAAAAACAAGCCAACAGGAATCAGGAACATGGGGTTGGACATCTGTGTTTTAAATTTGTGTGTGTGTGTGTGTGTGTGTGTGTGTGTGTGTGTGTGTGTGTGTGTGTGTGTGTTGTGTGTGTGTGGTGTGTGTGTGTGTGTGTGTGTGTGTGTGTGTGTGTGTGTGTGTGTGTGTGTGTGTGTGTGTTGTGTGTGTGTGTGTGTGGTGTGTGTTGTGTGTGTGTGTGTGTGTGTGTGTGTGTGTGTGTGTGTGTGTGTGTGTGTGTGTGTGTGTGTGTGTGTGGAAAGTCGGTTCGAAAACGCTCTCTTCCTCAGTTACCAGCTATCTTTGTCATCTTCTAATAATAACTTCACCTTAAGGGTCGAGATCGTTTACAAAACAACAAAACACAGCGACGACTGAACTTGTCCTACAATCCAGTTTTCTAATTTAATTAACACTTGTTTTGGAATCTGGTGTCTGTAAATGCATTTTGTCTTTTTCTGCAATTATCTATGAACCCAGAGCAAAAGTTTTCCATGCGTTAGCAGAGACACGTCAAGTATTATGACTGAAAATTATATGATTTATGATTTGCCTGCAATTTCTGAGCGTTTGCATGGGTGTGTGTATTTCACATAAATCCTTTGTCTGTGTGGGCCTACTTGTGTTGCTGTCTGAGTTACCTTGCAGTCTCCTGTGGCTTCTATTTATAGCCCTGAGTAAACAAAATGGATACATAGGAGAAGCACACGGGACAAGTCCTTTAGTCTAGTGCTTGCCTGCCATAAGAGCATTTGAGTCTCTCCAAGGATCCTCCATGATGTGCCTGCGCTTTGGCTTTGACTGTGGGTTTGTCCAACAGAGATGATTTCATTCAGAAAAAAGGAAAATGTAACTGGGGACGGATGAATATATCCATTGTGTCTGTAGGGGCCAGCTCTCAGCAGCCTGGTTTCCACTGCAGAGTGGAACAGACCTAACCAGAGCTTAAGGTTACTCATTATGTATTGTATATCAGTCAATTTCCAGCATCTGTGGCCTGTGGCACACACCCACTATTAGTAATGATTTGTCAGCTGGGCTACACTTTCCTTTAAACCAAAAAGCGTTTGATCCTGATATAAGCATTTTGAGCTGTGATGTTTGGCGTACATGTCACTTCTTACTGCTTACTGTGGAAAAGGAATAATTTTCTTTGTGTGGGAGCATTGAGTGGGATGTGTTTAGAATACTGTCAGTGGTTTTGCTATAATTATTTTCCTTCTGTCCGCTCATAAAACACATGATCATGATTAGTCCTTGAAGCTCAGCAGGGATATGGCAGTTAAAATAGAGCAGGGTTTGTGATCAAGAACTGTTCTCATTAGAAATGTTTAAAATGTCTTACGTTATATTGTTTTTTGTGTCCATCAGTCACCAAAACATATATGAAATAGTAATGAAATGTATTAACAATGTCACAAAAAATACTTTTTCACATTTTTTACTTCCTAACCCTTCATACATACCACGTTCAACTAACAGGCCAAGTTAGATCCCTCATGTAGAAGCCGCTGAGGGACATGTCAGTCATGCAATAATGTATTTTCCGTTCATAAACGTATGCATTTCTGAACTCCTCTGGAATCTCATGTCATTTTAATTTATAATTGTATTTTATGTTTTCATGACTATGAGATGTAGAGCCATTTTCTTCTCAGTAACTTTGACCTCCAGTAATGTGAACACTCTCTCCCTCTGCTTTTCTCACACGCAGAACAAGCTTCATGTCCTGCCGCTGGGCCGTTCATCTGACCTGAGACCAGGGGAGTTTGTGGTTGCTATCGGCAGCCCGTTTTCCCTCCAGAACACGGTTACCACGGGGATCGTCAGCACCACTCAGCGAGAGGGGAGAGAGCTGGGCCTCCCCAACTCCGACATGGAGTACATTCAGACTGATGCCATCATAAATGTACGTCAATACAAGTGCAGACATACACTTGATTTTTCTCCAAATCAAAATAATAAGTCATGTTTCCTTTCGGTTCACAGTACGGCAACTCTGGAGGGCCTCTGGTAAATCTGGTAAGCCATTTTTGTTTTGTTGGCAGATTCGTTTTACATTCCCATAATGTTTCTTCTCACAACAAATTTCACGTTGATGTTTTAGGATGGCGAGGTTATTGGGATCAACACGTTGAAAGTGACAGCTGGCATCTCCTTTGCCATCCCCTCCGACAAAATTCGAGAGTTCCTGGCGGAGGCTTACGACAGGCTTCAAAGAGGTGTGAGCTCTCAATGACACACCTTGTTATGTTTTCATTTCACTGCTTTTATTCAATCAACGAGACAGACTGTAGGAGGCAAATACAAATAAATTGGCTTCCAGAGTTGGACCAGGATGCACAGAGTAAAGCAGCTTATAATTAAGCATGCCTTTCTTTGGTTGTTTTTTCCATCTCTGTGTGCGCTCTTGAGATATATTGACGACATTTCTAGCTTTATGAATCCATGCCAAGCATTACCTAACAGGATTATGACATTGCAAATAAACTACACGGAGGAAAAAGCCAGAAGGTTGTTCTTTTATTTTATTGCTTTTCACCCTCTACCTCACGTAGAGTTTTGGAACAGCACAAACATGAATTATTACGTGCTTTATTGATTAGATTTTATTCTATAAATGATGAAATCACTTAAAAACAAGATGATGAAACACATAAAAGATGGAGTTTGTAGATATGTGCATGTGCGCACTCTCTTGCAAGACAATTGCAAGATAAGTGAGACTATCTGTAATCCACTGCTTTATCTAAAATAATATTTTCTATCACTCACATACATAAAACAATACCCTAGAGCACTTTTATGTATTTGGAGTTCAAAACCAAATCCCTCATGAAACAAAACCCAGGCTTTTGCAGGAGAGACTATTCATGATTGTGTTGTTGTCCATCTTTAGGAAGAGCCGGTGCCAAGAAGAAGTATATTGGTGTGAGGATGATGACTCTCACTCCAGCGTACGTTGCATACTTTTTTGTGCATCAGCAATGAAATTGCACCAATACACCTTTAATCATGCTTAGAAAATGGTAAATGCACATTTCTTGTTTACTGCTAGATACAAATTATGATGAACTCTCTGTCCCATTTTCTTTCTGTAGGCTGGCGAAAGAGCTGAAGACTAGACACCGTGACTTCCCTGACATCACGTCTGGAGCGTACGTCATGGAGGTCATTGCAAAGACACCAGCTGCAACGTAAGGAGGATATTATGCCCATATGGCTTCATAAGAGTGTGCTCAGTTCAAAATGTGCAAGAGCAAACGTTTTTTTTCTTTCTAAGCAATGGGATATTGTCTTTGGCACTTCATGCTACACACGTGCACCTAACTCCCTCTCATCACTCTCCATGCAGCCCCTTCTCCCCTTTCGCAATGCAAATAGACAGTATATTTCATTTCCTTGCCTTCAGATTATTGCTCTCCTCTAACTGTCAAGGGTGCATACACACTTGTGGAGAAACACACACGGCTTCCTACACAACTGTCTTAGTAGAACATAAATTCATGGCTCACTCTGGCGTGCCTGGAGTGCCTGGCCATCTAAAATATCCCCCCTCCTCCCACAATCACGGGCCCACTCCAATCAGCCACCACCACAGCTCCAGCAGAGTGGGGCTCAGAAGACGCTGAGGTCGGCTATTTCCTTCAAACCTCATGCAGGGAGGTTACGAGCTGCGCTGTGGTTTTCCTGCGCCGGCTCACCCAGCCCTTTCCGAAATGAGTTTCCCCCTGCCGGGCCTTGTCAGAGTTTACTCATGCCTTAATCACCCTGCTCTTTGCATAATAACATTTCTGTGGTTCCTTCTTTTTTTTTATAATTCTTGCTTTTTTCTGGCCTTCGCTTCCTTTCTTTTGATCTCATTCTCGTTTGTGTTGCTTTATGGCCTTTTGAAATCTTGACCCTGCTGCAGAAAGCTATCCATTTGCCCTGTGAGAGGTGTTAGAGCAGCTGGGTGTAATGAGGGGAGTGCTGAGCTGCAGTTGTGTTTATGGATGTTGTTACAAGTGAAGGTGTGACGGTCTGTGTTCACATGAGGCTGTGATTAAGCAGCTGTGTTGAGAGGCAGCTTTTGATACTGCCCTGGTCTGCGTGTGATTTCATGTTTACTGGTTTGTTTGCAACCTTTTTTAGTTGTACGTTTGGCCACAATGTTTTTTTTTTTACCTATTTTAGCTATTATTCCCATCATGATCACTCACATCGTTAAAATAGTTCCAACAGATGTCAAGATTGTGCTCACGGATCTGTAAACAAACCTGACCAAAATACAAGAAGTCAGATACGCTTGTATAAAGAAGTAGGAAAACATGATTTGAACTTGTTTTGGCGTTCGATTGGTGTGTGGTTTGTGATACTTGACATCTGTAGGCTATTAAAATAATCGGTGGTTTTTATTCTTTCAGCTAAAATCTGAATAGGGAATTATATTACCACGGTATGCAAAAAGAAAAGGAACACATTTCCTCATTAAAGGATTTAGCGTGATATTGTATATTTTTATCATGGTCAACAATCCCATGAATAGACCAAAACCAATTAAGTGTATGTCTGTCTTTCTTCGTCTAAATTAATCTCTTTAAACAGCTTGGCACTGTTTGTAGTCAATATTTCCAGCACCAGACAGAGCTCTACTACAGTGCCTGTATTACCCAGTGCAACAGTTTGGTTCATTGATGTGTTTTTGACAACTGAAGAAGCATAAGAACAAAGGAAGAAATGATATTGTGCTTAAATGTATCCGTAATAGTAGTTTATTTTTATAGAATAAGGTCATGGTTACGGTCTTCTCCTAGGATTTAGTTGTCTTTAGGAAAATATTGCATATTTCCATAATTAAATATCAAGTTGGTACACACTGTAAACTGATTAAGATGACAGAACAGCATTAGGCTTTATGTGGTTTGTGTGGCATCTTTGCATTCATTAAACAATTTACAGGGTAGAGATAAAAGGAAAGGAGGTTGCGAGGTCATAACGCTCTACAAAGATAATTAGGACTATGAGGATTACAATGGCATATTTTTCTTTTATCATTGGTCATATCTTCTTCTTCTTCTTTTCTCTTCCAGTGCTGGACTCAAAGAGCACGACGTCATCATCTCGATCAACGGCCAGAGGATCTCATCAGCGACTGACGTCAGCGCCATCATCAAGAAGGAAAACACACTGAGAGTAGTTGTGCGCCGGGGAAATGAGGACGCTATCCTTACGGTTGTTCCAGTGGAGATCGACCCCTGATCCTCCACAAATCACAGGAGCAGGAGCGAGGTTTTACTTATCGCCAGTGGACCTTATATTGGAGAGGGGCTTCGACTGACACGCCCTCTCCCTGGTGCCAAAGGCCAGTGGTGCCACACATCCAGAAAGAAATCTGGCTATGCCTTGAAAGAAACGACTGTACAGGTGCTCCAGAAGCAGTGCTGTACTCACGTGTGTGTTCACTTTTAGTCTTTAATGCTTTGATCAATGCTAGTATACTGTTTGGTCACAAACATAACAAATTGGTCAATGGCATACAGTTTTAATGCGGTTTTATTTCATGTTTTGTGTCTTTTTTAAATGGACTTTTGCTAGGTCAGGCCTTCCACTGCAATTTTAAGCAATCTGAGCAAATCTGGTTTGTATAGTTGTCATTTTTAACTCCTTTTTTAAAGTACTGTAGAATGTTTTTTGTTGAATTTGTGATGTATACTGAGAAGAAAATAAAGGGTTTTCCTTATTTAGTTTTCAAACACTCTATCTTGGCTTTCTCTTTTTCTTTCCATCTTTCTTTCACACTCATTTTGGAAATGACTGCACCCAGGCTGACATTACAATATTTTCTTTGTGTGTGTGAGCTTTGCTTAACCATTGCTGGGGCTCACGCTCACAAACACAAAGGGGACATAAAACCAATTGAGATCTGGTTTAAATTCTATTTTATTGCCTTCATATGGGCTTGATAGCTGTGTGGTATGACTGTTGGGCCCGGGGCTGTGCAGGCTGACCTCAGAGACAGGAGCGCGAGCCAAGCACAGATCCGACCCCTCGATGCAGTGGCTCGCATGAATACACTCAATGTTTTGGTAGAGATTTTTGTTTACCACATCGATTTGGATGAAGATGACTAAGTAGATTTCATAGCTACAGAAACCAGCACACAAGAAAGTCTCTGACCACTACATGTGAAATCTAGTGTGGAAACACTGTGCTTTTATTTTCTATTTTAACCCATAACTCAAATGAAAAGTCTGCCATACTCCACCGTCTACAGGAAGATAAAACTGAACTTCAACAGATTTACAAGTATGTGTTCAAGTCATAGAGGAAGATATTTTGGCATTCAGCAATGCGGTTACCCAGTTTCTGCATTTGAATTTGAGACCATACCTCTAATAACCAGTGGATGTTTATCCTTCACACCCCATTTTCCATTCCCATACACCACATGGAAGCTACATTACAGATGCTTTCCCATGATGTTGAGCGTCCTACATACACATTATCTTCAGGATCTAGTGGATATTAAAAAAATATTTGGACTTGTCATCATATACTGGTCACTGAATGATGGATGTGTACATTTGTAGTCAGAGGCCAAAGGTGCAATTGAAAAAATAATAATGAAATACTGAGAGAAGCGTGACAGAAAGTGGTGCTGCCATCTCATGGTCCTGTATCAGAGTTGCAGTTTCTCTGATTAACCCATCCAACTATGTTGCAAACCATTTGAGACAGATGTTACACACAACATTAAAGGTCTATGTTTTTTATTTCACTTGGCATTTGCCTGATTTCTGACTCATTTATTCCAACATTCAGGGAGATTACAGCATACATAGCATTGGACTCAGCAGTAGAGTTGGCCTGTTGAATTGAGTAATGACTGCCAAACTGCCATGACCTGCGCTCAAAAATAATCACTCATCGAGGCAAGGCCTTATTACCTCACCACCTCTGAGTGACTCCCTGTCACTTGCGGATGCCAAAAACAATCTATATGTTAAAAACTGACCGAATATGGTGTGTTTTTCTTTCTCTTATCTTTGTCCAAATGTTGCATTATGATGATTAAACATTTGGTCATTTGGTTCATTCTGATTAAAGACAGAACTCATGTGAATCTTGGGAACAGAAATATGATTATGCATGTGGCTCTTTGCCATTAATGTCATGATATTACAGTAATATAGAGAACAACTGTGACCCCATGACATAATTAAAACAAATATAGAGCTATACAGTATGAGTTATTTTGTTTTCTTGCCTTCCAATAGAAGTTTGTATCCCTATGTTTTTTAACTGAAACCAGCCATTTCCGCAGAGCTGACCCCAGCTGTATCTTTGTAAGGACTTCCATGATTTGAAGTGAATGTTGTGATGTCTGTTCAGGCTGAGTAATGGTCATTTCAGTGTTGATTCAGTTGGGATCACTTTACCTTGCAGATCCAAGCTGTTTATAACACACTATTTAATGATTTGACACCATCTGCACCCCAGATCAGTGCCAATGTTGGTGATATATGTGTGATTCCAGCAAGCTGCAGGTCTTTGAACATTCAGTCTAGTGAACACATTGATCAAACTTGGCTGCATAAAAAGTCATGTTTTAGTGTGTTTTAATCAAGATAGCAAACATTTGGTAAACAGAATGATGTGATTGAAAGTGAATTGAGCATGAAATAGCTTCAATAAGTAGTAAAACAAGATATTTGTTCTCCTTGGCAGACCAATTCAACCACTAAACGCTGCTCATTCACGATGCACCTGAGGGGTTTAAATGGTTGTTTCACTCAAATGAAAGAAAAACAAACAAATTGTTATTTTTCTTACTTATGTGTGGTGCCCAGCCATGCATAGTTTAGTTTATTTTCCACTGGTTAGAGGTGAATGGAAATGTATTTGTGGACCCAATAATACATTTCCTATAAATCAAAAATTATCAGCAATTTCCAAAACAGTTTTCATTGGAATTGTACCAAATAAAGAATCCCCATGAAAACCTTTAATTTGAGTTGAGCAACATGTGTTGCTAAAACAATGATTAGGCCTAATATGCTTTGATTGTATTGCCATCAGAATTTTGGAAACTGAATTTATCATTATGCTAGTCATAAAGTGAATTGGAGTTAATACTATCAATAATGATAATGATGAGTACATTCTTTAAGTATGGGTACAGTGCCAAAACAAAATGAAAAAGGTTTCTGTGAGTGCATCACAAAATTAATAATATACATTTGTATCCTTTGACATTTGGTAATGATTAGTCAATGTCTAATCTGTGAATGACATTAAATTACTTTCTTTTAGCATAAGTCAGTCAATACTATAGTGTACATTTCAAATATTTCGCCAATGAAGGTATTTTGTGAAGATTTTCCAATAAGTAACAAAACAGTGAACAGAGAAATCACTTTTACACAATCTACATATCAAAGAACAATACATTTTGGGCTAAATAATAGAAACAATCGGCACCATCTGTACCATTTGTATTTGGCACGTCTTCAAGTTGAAATGAACAAAAATTGACATCCAGCGCCCCCTATCGTTTGTTATGGTTTGACTTTTTAACCAATCAGAGTCACGTTTGCTGACGCACAAGGAAAACATCCCTGACGCTGATTGGTCCCTCTCTCGTAGCTCTCTACACGGGGGTCTTGCCAAGGATCGAGGAGGGAGGGGATATTTTAATGGCCGTCAGTAGCACTACGAAATGCAAAAAGTGTGAATTATCCTCTTTACTTAGACTATACTAGCCACGGGTGCGTTTGGGCATCCTCTCTTTGGTAACGAGCATTGCTTTTGAGACACATTGGTGTTGGAGACGGGTTTCAAGTGTTGTTTAAACGGACTTTACCCGCTTGATTTGTGAGCGAGTGGGAGATCAGGCCTAGCCGGCTGGCTAACAAACAAGCGGACGTTCAGCTAGTCGCCGGAGTTGAAAGGTAACAGTTTGCTATTATTTTGTACTCACGACGATATTTAATATCTCTGCAATAAAATGTGTATGTTGAATGTGTTAATTATATTTAAAATACGATATTCCAACATTGGATGCATTCAAGTGCTAAATGTAAACAGAGTACTACCGTTAGCATAGATCAGCAGTGTGGAAGCTAACGGCTAACTGCTAACTTTTGAGTAACTTTACAAGCAGGAGCAGGCCTAGCTACGGTTAGCTGTTGGTGAATTAGCGGTAACTCAACTGTCAGTGTGACGTTAGGTAACGCCAATATGTCAAAGTTTCCCTAAAGTTCATCCAAGGCGTTTTAGTTTCTTAACGTAGTGCACATAATACTACAGTTTATGCTATTTGCAAGCTTTTCTGCATGAGCTAGCGAGCTAGCCAAGCAAACTTAGTGGGCTATCAAATATAGTTTACACATCATTTATATGCTAAAGCCAAGTTCATTAATCCAACATTGGCAGTGTAATTGTGGAGCATTTGTTGTTGTAAAAATGGAGTGCAATGCTCCGTGCTGAGGGTTATATGCTATTTAACGTGAACTTGCTTGTCTAACACATTTCCTCCAGCTAGCTTTCGAATGATGTGTTGATTCATCTCTGCTTATATTTACAGGGAATATGTAACATAAAGCAACCGATCATGACATCCAGATTTGGTAAAACGTACAACCGCAAGGGAGGGGAGGCCAACTCGAAATTTGACGAGGTCTTCAACAATAAGAAGCCCACCCTAACCACCAAATGGGGGGAGACCACCTACAAGGCTCAGTTGGGTACCAAAAGGCCTGTTTTAAAACCGGAAGTGTCTGAGCTTTCCAAGAGGCCCAGGCTTGAGGACAGCGACAGTGATGATGACCCATTTGGATTTGACAGTGATGATGAGTCCAAGACTGTTACCACTCAAAGTGTGTCCCCGTCTGGGGTCAAAGAAGGGTCGCTATCAAATACCACTACAGTACAGAGGAGTGTAGTTTCTTCTGCACAGGGCTCAACATCCTCATTAACAAGTGAGTAATCAATACATAAAGAAGACCAACAACGCATGTGATTGTCTTGATGGTTTATTTACTATAGGTTGCCAACCTGTCATTTCATTATTTACCTACACCTTGTTTATTTGATAGATTTTCCTGCTGTTTTGTCGCTTTTTAAGTAACCACCTGTATCTTTTTTTTTTTTACCATTCACAGCCAAGCAAACTTCTGAAGAGAGGGTTCTTAAAAATAACCAGCCCAGGTTCAAAAGTACATCAGATGGCAACCAAAAACCTGCATGCAAGGCCTCTTTGGTAAACACAGTCCCGTCTGTTAAACAGAATGTCTCGATGTACCAGAGGCACATCCCCGCATCTTCTAATGTAGTCACCAATATCAGACTGTCCACTAATGCACCAGGTGGTAGCAGAGACTTCCACACCACTTGCTCTTATGATGAAATGTCTTCGGTACAAATCCAAAATGCTGAGCTAGAGCCTCCACCAGAACTAGTGGACAACATTCCCCCATCCCCATTTATCCTGAGGGCCTCAAACTGCAAGAAATACCAGCGACCCACCAAGGCTAACAAAATGTCCTCTGAACCGGCTGAGAACAACAGCATCCAGCCCACTGAAACAGCGAACGCCCAAGATAAACCCAACAGTGTCCTTTCTGCTAACGCAAGTGTTCCTGCTGCCAAAGCTAAAACAGCAGCCAAGCCCGCAGGCAGGGGCGGCGGGAGGGTACGGGACTACACGGTCCTGCACCCTTCCTGTCTGTCGGTGTGCAACGTCACCATCCAGGACTCAATTGAGCGGAGCATCGATGAACTAGTCACCCCAGCTGCCCCGGTTGACCTGGGAGATTCAGGCCAGATGAAGAAGAAATCAGACGCTCCCCCGATCAAACCCACCAGGTAAGTCATTTCAATATATGTATCTTAAATGCCGTCGATGTACGGAATATCACTACGAAGTTGTCTTTAAAACTACTTTCATCAAACACACGTTGACACTATGACATGAAAAGATTATCCATGTTCCTTCAACTCACTATGTTAACATAATCAGATCCTATAGCTTTGACATATTGCACCCATCACCATTGGTTTATTAAGATGTATGTCTTTTAAGATTAGAATAACTATTAATAAGTCATTTGATAGTGTAGGTCAGCTCTTTGGAGAGACTGCCAATGTATGCGTAATGTCTCGTTATGCATCATGCTCAAGTGGTTTCTCAACAGTAATATGGCGTCCTAACAGGGAACTATTCTTGAAATTTAAAAGGTTTTGTTTCGAAGTTGAGCCAAAGTGTGGACCCCTACTTTGTTTTCTTTGTATTAGTTTAGCTTTAATGTTTTATTTTTGTTATGTTTGTCCTGCTCCAGTTTCCCCCTCTTAAATTTCTTTCCTTTTGTTTTTCTTTTAATTCTGCTTTTGTTAATATTCCTTTTATTGTTTTGTTTCTGCTTTATGAATTGTGCATGATTTCACGCTGTGTGTTCTCATGCATCTTTATTATTGACTGTGAAGCACTTTGGAACCGCTTTTTGCAGTGCAATATATAACGTGCTAAATAAATACATGTTTTAACCTACTTAACAAATCATCTCATTGCATCTTTCCAGGTTCAGACCCACCCAGACAAAGACCAAGAAGACAAAGGCTGAGACCAAGCTAGAGTTCTTTGGCTTTGAGGACAAAGAGGAGCATGGGGGCGAGGAGGGTCCTGAAGCTGGGAAGAGTAACTACAAGATCAAGTACTTTGGCTTTGACGACCTGAGCGAGAGTGACAGCGATGATGAGGAGTCTATCCGCAAAGAGAAGAAGGCCAAGAAGGCGGCTGCAGCCTTAGCGGCTCTGAGCTCCAGCGTGGACAGCCCGCAAACCAGCGACTCTCAGGACAGCCAGGCCAGCAGCAACACAGGTGAGCTCATCCCTCTTTTATTGTTGATGTCATTAGCTGAAGAATCAATGCCTTTGCTGTTTTGATCAAGATGTTTGTAGACTTTTATTTTCAAAACTTAACTAAAAGCTTAACATTTTCAATCCTGGTTTATCCAACAGAAGCTTTTGACTTGTCTGAAGACTCTGGCGCCGAGGGACAAAAAGGACGACCAGGGAAGGCAGGCGAAAAGTCCAAGGATAATGCAAGTGGACTAAAAAAGATCTTCAGTGGACCCAAAAAGGTATATGAGCTTCCTAGAAATATTTTTCTTTCTCTGCCTGATTTTCATAACCTGCCTTCATGACCTTCACCATGGCCAGGCTTGATCTAGCGTTTGAAACGGATTAGTTTTGAACAAGCAAAGCTAATCATTTCAATATAAAGAACATTGTTTTACCATCTTCATATTTAAGTGACATTAACATAAGTTATGATTTGGTTTGCTAGATTGACTCCTGCCTAAACTTGAAAATGGCTTGATTCACTCCAAAAGGACACACGGGACAACTCAAATTTGAATCTTTCCTCTTTATTTGAGTTATTGTAGATTTCTTGTTGCTTCATTCAGCCTTCATTTAGCTTCCCGTCGCATCATTTAGGTTGAAAACCTTTAACACAAAACACACTTTCATTCACTTTAGGCAAATAAACATTTCAATGAAAACCATGCCATCCTTAAACAAGCACTTTCATTTCTGCTCTATGGTTTTAAATGTAATCAAGTTACAATTAAACTTAACATTTAATCAAAAGTAAAATCATCTCAACAAAGTAAATTATATTCCAGCTTCTTATATTTTAGCTTAATACCTCATAAGACTAGAAATCATAATTCATTTAATCAAACATGTCTTCAATACATTTACAAATATATCACCAGCAGCGTCTTTGGTCGAATCCTTGAGTCTCCTCTCTCACAGTGAATTGTTTGTCCTCTGCTGAGAGTGTGCATTCCCAGGTGTGTTGCATCAAGCTCTTTTAAATAGGAGACTCACACTCGTCTTTGAGCCACATCTCCAGTGGAATCACAGATTTTAGGCTCCCTGTCACCACTTGCTGGACTGGAGCCAGATTTTGAATTGCCCTTCTCTGGTTCTGACAAAACAATAACTCTGCTTGGATTTGTGGTATCTTATACCCATACTGCTGTGCTTATCTAAATCACGTTTGACAATGGCTTTAGGTTATTTATCTGTTTTTCTAATTCTTTGTGTTTCACTACTACTGTAATCTTTAGAATATATATAATTGAGTTGCACAATGCGTCATTTTCAGGAAATGTTTCTTACCGCTTTGGGAGTGCTACACACTGAGGCTGCTGTCGTCTCAGTCTATCATCGTGATGAAGCATGCAATATTTATGTCTTCAATTGAGCCAATGCACAACAATAACTTAAAGTGCACCTATCATGCTATTTGTAGGCAATAGCATAGGTCTCAGATATATACAAATATATAAAAAACATGTCTATGAAGTGTTTTGCTCAAAATACCAAACGGATCACCCATTCTAGCCATGCTTCATATCCCTCTATTTCACTTCCTGTTTCAAAAGTGCTGATTTGGGGTATAAAGCTTAAAAAAAAGGGAGGGGGCTGAGCTCATGCGGGACCCGGCAGCTACTGTCTAAACTAAATACTGCCGTGATGAAACGCCATATCATGGATTATCAAGGATTATTTCTGAAACAGTATGGAGCTCAAAGGCTTTCTCTCTTGCCAGTTATACCACAAGGTGAGTTCCTTTTTATATCCTGCTTCTTCACACACATGCTCTCCAGTACAGGTTAGCTCTGAGTGTTAGCGATGCTAATGTAAACATGCACCGACCATATTACGTCCAAAACAGTCGGGCATTGTTTCTGATAGCAATGTTTCTGATAGGGCCGTGGGTCCACATTTCCGATATTACGTCATATCGGACGCAAATCTGGATCAGCTCCGTTGTAGCCCCGTTTTTAGAGATTTGGGTACGGAGGAAAAGAGAGGGTTTTATTTTCTGACGCTGCGTGAGTTCCCAGACACACCGGGGACACATATTTATGTCAAAAAGTGCATTTTGCATGATAGGTCCCCTTTAAGCTTTGTGCTAGAACTTCTCTATGCAGCTTCACATTTCTCTACATTGTCTTTGTTCATGTTTGAATTGCATGCATTTGGTAATTTGAGTTTTTGGTGTCCCTTAGATAACTACCCAATCTCAATTTTTTTCTGGGTTCCAGTCACCGGCTAAGGCCGTGTACAACGCTCGCCACTGGAACCAACCTGAACCTGAGGAGGTACCTGTGCCTCCACTGTCCCGTGCTCAAACTGCTCCGGTAAGATATCTCTCTTTTAGTGGTTATTGAATTGAGTTTTGCTTTATTGTGTTGTTCTCTAGGCCCAATAAAGGCGTCTCAGTGTGTGGAAAGGGAGAATTAATGATGTTTAAGTTCTCATCTGAAATCTATGCATTTGTTTTTACAAACAAAGCAGGCTAACAATATTAAAAGAGTATTTATGTGAAACAAATGCTCATAACTCGTACCATTTGTTTACATTATTTTATTATAATTCTCCGTTATTGTCTACAACCCGGGAGATTGTTTAATGGAGTCAACCGTTTTGTTTAATTGCTCTAATTAGTCTCCTTCTGTTCATATATTTTCCCAGACAAGTAAACCTGGTTTATTTGTATTTGCTGCGTTAATTCTCCCCCACCTCTCATTGAAATAAATGTTGGAAGAACTCATTCCAGTCTGGAAAATGGGATTTTAATATATCTTTTTTGACTTTGCACTACCTCATCTGTCACCCGTTAACAACACTTATTAAAGACTTGTGTGCTTAGCAGACAGTTCAGCTGTGGTAAATCTTGCGGATATGTCGTTAAACACATTTGTTACTTTGGTATGAGCCCGCTTTCTCCGCCTCTGTTCTTCCTCAGGCTATTTTATCGAGCAGCAGCAAGGACAGCAACTCCCATAAAGATGATGGCTTGTTCAAAGCCCCCCCACCGCCGCCTAAAGTCATTAAGTCGGAGACCCTCCCCACGCGACTCAACCAGGATATTGTAACTGCGCTGAAATGCAGGAAGGAGCACAAGGAGGTGAGTCCGGAGCAAACTGAGATGTTTTTTTAGAGGAAAAACTGATTTTAAAGGCATTTTTTATTCAGTTCTACTACATTTATTTGCATGCTGCTATGATTTGAATGTATTTGTCATTCTTTACCAAGCTCCTTTCACCATTTGATGCAGGTTATGCAGTACATACATAGTATTCATTTGATGTTTATCAGGCTCAATGATGTTTCATTGAACCCTTTTGTAATTTCGAGGTAGAAATGAGCACTGTAGCTGTTAGTTTAAACTCTCCTACAGCTCGTGTCATTTACAGATGGGCCTTCTGGCTCCAGTTCAAGCTGTTAGTCAGAGATCCCCTGCAGTAAAATGGATTCAGCTAAGCTGTCGCCACACACTGGGGTTATCTTAAACCCGGGTGCTTCCTCATGGGTTTTGCTGAGTGCACACAAATAATGACTGTTGACACTGGTAAACATACAGAGGCAACTGCTGATCAGGCCCCAACTCCACATGCTGAGCTTTTATTGATGAGGGGTATTAGCACAGTCAGCTATTTCTGTTAATGGAACCAATGGTGAGGAATTTAACAATAAGAGAGAGCGCTCACTGGGTGTGTGTGTGTTTATGTGTGAGTTGATTGTGAATCTGGACAGATGCACTGCTTCCCAATTCGCTGTAATTAACCCCACTCCCCTTCCACCAGCTGTACACGGTGGTGCAGCATGTGAAGCACTTCAATGACGTGGTGGAGTTTGGAGAAAATCAAGAGTTCACTGATGATTTTGAGTACCTGGAGACGGGGCTTAAGAGCAGTCAGCCACTCAACACCAGATGCCTTAGGTAAGTGCAGTAAAATACTAAGTGCTGCCTTTTTGTGCAGTTCTACAGAATAGCACTTGGATGCTCTAAGACTGCTCCGACATAGATTACCTTCTCTGGTAGCTCGTACTAAGTTGTGAGTGCCAAGTACCTCACTGAGTTGTTTGAGTGGTTTAAGCACCTGCCATCTGACATCTGTCACCTAGTATAAGCAAAGCTATTCCATGATCAAGTGCTTAAGTTGATCAAAGCTTTGAAATTTGACCCCTAAATAAATAAATAAAACTTCTCCTTTAAAAGCACAGCAGGACCTGGAGATACAAAGTAAGAGTCTTGTTCATATGCTGTATACTAACAGTGAAGACCATTTTTTAATATAATGGTCTTTTATTTATCAAATGTTTTCATTATCCCATACATAATGAGCCCTATAGAGGCAGTTTATGGACCTATATTTTGTTTCGTCTTTGCACTTTACTATTTATGAATCTCAATGGTTAAAAAAAAAAAAAAAAAAAAATTATTATATGCTCAGATAAAACTTGTTTTTCTGCAGTATCATAAAGTGCACAGCCGTTCTGTTAAGAAAATGAAATCCGTTAAGAAGAGACAACCTTGACTACAGAAAAAGCTGCATACTTCAGGGCTTCAGTCTTTACACATGCAGAGAGAGGATAGGGGGAACATGTAGCAGAAAGAAATCAGAAATGGTGATATTCATTGATGAAGTAGGCTGTGCCACATTTTGTCTCATTCATTTGGGTTTCTGAGAACTAACCTGACATTTCTGCACCCCTTCCTCTCTCTCTCTCCAGTATAATCAGCCTGGCCACGCGCTGTGCCATGCCCGGTTTCAGAATGCACCTGCGGGCCAGAGGGAAAGTGGCACAAGTCTTCAATATGCTCAGTGATGCTCCACAACACCCGGTCAGTAACACTCTGCAGTCACTTACTGCCTCAATTTCAATTTGTTATCTGCCTCGCAAAATGTTTGTAAAGAATGATAAATGGAAAGGTGTTTGCCATGTTTGATTGATTTCTGCTTCTGTTGTTTACTCGTGTCCTTGGTGGAAATGATTTCTGCTAAGGTTCACTTCCAAAGCTATGAATCAGGGTGTTTTATGTGAGATGACAGGGTGACAGTGATCCCTACCTAATGCACTTAGCTGCTAGTAAAATAAGAAAAAGAACTGTGGCGAGCCTTCCTCCACCCCCTTTCTAATAAGGGGGCTCTGAGTTTTGAAGATACTTTTCTGATTCAGGTGCAAATACAGTTGTTTCAGAAACTAATTCTCAAGTAACTCAAGCATTTTTTGTCTGAAAAATTGTGTCTGTTAGTTTTTACAAATACACTTAAATATAATGTTATATTGTTCCATATATATCACTGCCTTATGATGTGGATTTTTCTGACAGGATATGCTGACCTGCAATGGTAGTCTTTGCTGTCGACATGTCAGTTTCATTTATTTGTATCTGGCCCAGTTAGCTTGCATTGGCTGTGTGTTGGAGAGCAGAAGAAAATGTTCCATTTCATCTGGAGAGTGTGATGTTTGTTTTCATATCTTTTTTAACACCTCTGCAATATTTGCTAATGAATAGGATGTTTAAGGTCGCATTCCTGGAGTTATTTATGTCTTAATTATGAAATGGTTATATTCAAATGCAGCTATTCAGTACAGTTTAATTGCCTTTATGCTCCTTTAGATATCTTTTTATTTTATTTATTTTATTATTTTATCCTTATAGCTTTGTGAAGCACCTTGAGATAACGTTGTCTTTAAAGTGTGCTATATAAATCAAATTTATTATTATTTAATAAGTTCAGTATTTCTATTTCTCTAGTTAAAACTCGACGAAACAAAACTTGTCTGTCTCTGCGTGTTCTGGTTTCAGAGTTTAAAACAGACGGATATATTTACAGTTGTAAAACTGCAGCCACTTTCTCCTGTTCACCAACCTTGGTTTCTGTTTTATTCATAACATTGAATGGACACACCAAAAAAACCCTGCTTGAAATAGGAAAGGAGCTCAATCCTCACCATTCTAATACAAATCTAATTGTAATGCTAAAAGGGTCAAAATGATTGAATGCATTGGTGATAGTGGCCATGTATTCGAATGTTCCCAGCGTCAGGTTGTCATTGAACATCATGTCTCACCTCTGTATGCTCGACACACAACATACACTTTTTAAAAATAGCCTTTCTCTATCTTCCTATCAGAACTTGGGTCTGTGCACGGCTTCCCTGATGTACATTCTGAGTCGGGATCGTCTTAACATGGATCTGGACAGGGCCTGTCTGGAGCTTATGATCAAGCTGCTGGAGATAGACCAGGACTACTCGGCCCACCAGGATCAGCTCACTCCCAAGGAGGTGGAAAAGGTCAAGGAGAAGATCAGGAAGCTGTGTGAGACCGTGCATAACAAGCACCTCGACTTGGAAAACATCACGGTGGGTTTGTCCTTGAACAACAACATAAATATAACTAAAAAGCTTCACTGCTGGATGTACTTAGTCATAAACCACTTATCAAGTTTGTAATGGTCTCTCTTCAACTAGCACCTTTTCATAAATACTTAAATGGCTAAAGGTAGGGTAGGTAAGAATGGAGAATTCCCCCAATATCTTGAAGTGATGACATTATTCAATGTTTTTCCTTTTTAACATCCTTATTAGCCATCTTAAATGTTGGGTGTCATCTTATAATGTATGCATTCCAGGATAATATTATCAAAAATGTGCTAATGTCCTCATTAAAAACTGTCAGATTTAAGGTCTCCCAAGGTCCAAAAGAGTTGTCCACCTGCCAAATAAGTGAATGCAGGGTTTGAAGATTTTACAAGTTGTTTTTTTTCCTGTTGTAGACGGGCCACCTTGCCATGGAAACTCTGCTCTCTCTAACCTCCAAGAGAGCGGGGGATTGGTTCAAAGAAGAACTGAGACTTCTGGGAGGGTTGGACCATATTGTAGACAAAGGTAGGTGTATGGGCAGCTTTGAAGTCTCTCTACTTCTGTAACATTGCAAAAAGATTCCCTTTCCAATGTCAAGTACCAGACCTGTTGAGTATCATGTACGTGTCAGGGTGTCTAATAGTTCTGTTCTTGTGCGTGCCACAGTTAAGGAGTATGTGCAGAACCTGAGCCAAGAGGACGACAAGGAGAACCTGGTCGTATCGTTATGGGGAGCAGAGCGCTGTCTGAGAGTACTTGAAAGTGTAAGTACTGCTCGGTCAGGTTTTCCTCTTCCACCAAAGTCGTACAAAAGTCATGCTAAAGGACAAAAGTAATTGAGTCCTGCAGAGTGGATGGTCACTTTTATTGTTAGCTTTATGAAAGACGGAATGTTTTTTTTCAATGTCACATAAAATGTCACTGATCTGTGCCAAAAGAAAGTGTCTCTCCTCATTTTCTGTTTCTTGTACCCTTTTCTGCCCCTTAATGTACTTTCCCCTCCATTGATTTCCTCTTTCTTTCATCTTCTGCCAACAGGTGACAGTGCAGAACCCAGAAAACCAGGCGTACTTGATTGCCTACAAAGAATCACAACTCATCGTCTCCTCCGCCAGGTGAGCACAGGATGCAGCTCGGAGCTATTATTGACTGGACACACATACATACTGAGAACCTGACTGAAATAACAACAGTTCACTTTGTCTTTGTACTTTTTGTACCACTATTGTACCCTTCACATTAAACGCTGTCCTCAGGTGTGTTGTCTTCCGTCTGGGTCTGTTACTCAAAAACATCTTGATTTTAAAGGAACAATTATCAGATCACAGACTTTTAAAGTGATGGACGATAACAGAATTAGCCGATTACCATAATTGTTAGCGTCAGAGCCAATAAAGATCAGCAAGTTTAGATCTGATAAAGCTTGGTTTGCTATTCCTGTATTAGAGGACACAAAATGGCATTGAGGGTTGTGCCGTACACAGAGGAACAGTTTTTAAATATTTTTCGTTTGTCCTCAAAATGTGCCCATTTACTGTCTTATAGCTTTTTTCTCATCAGTATGTTTTTCTCCCTTTCACCAGAGCTTTACGGTACTGTGAAGATATGATTCAGCGATACAGCAGGTCGCTAAATAACAGCTCTCTGTCATTGTCGGGGGCAGCGCTGCCCCACTGCAGCTTCAGTAACGTGGGCAAGGCTGTGGAGGACTGCATGCGGGCCGTCATAGGAGTGCTGCTCAACCTCACCCACGATAATGGTATTCTGATTTAATACCAACTCATATTTGTTTGCCTTTGTTCTTAATTTGTTCTATCTGGCATGTTTAGCCACTCAGAGCTGGGAAATGACTCAGTTTGATGGCTTATTGTTGCAGATGTGGTGCATAACAATGAAGCACAGTTTATTGAATTAAACCAAAGTTTGATTGTGTGATATGACATCGTTTTTCAATATGGGTTATATTCAGATTGATGTGCTCATTTACACTTGAAGCCTGTCACTCAGGTGCTTAGCAGGGTATTGACTAGTATTAGCAGAGGTCAATAATGATGTTATTTTAATCTGCAGAGTGGGGCAGCACTAAGACGGGTGAGCAGGAACAGCTTACCGTAACTGCTTTGAATTGCGTCCTCCGAGTTCCACGCTACATCCCCCAGGAGCAGCGGTTCGACGTGCGAGTTTTGGTAATGCGCTCATGAACAGAACACCTAATTGCTCAACAGATACTCTACGTATACATGTGTCTTATGTATTTCTTTGTGTTGTGTGTGTGTACCAGGGTCTGGGTCTACTTATCAACCTGGTGGAGTACAGCTCCAGAAACCGCCACTGCCTGGTGGACATGGAGTACATAATGGACGACAGCTTTCTGGAAGACAGCCTGTTGCAGCCGGCTGACCCGCCAGCAGCAGAGACAGCGAACGCACCGCCGGCCGCTGCTGCTGAGTCTCAGGGAGACGATCCTGTCAAGCCCAAGCCCTCCGGTGCTCTGGCTGCCCTGGTGCAGGTAGGATTTGTGAAAGGACTTATCAATGAATATTTTAACAGCGTTCTTTTTGTCTTGGCTACAGGTATATTTTTCATCATTTCTTTTGAAGTGAAGATGTGAGCAGAAACTGTTACAGCCATGAGAAAAAAAAATCAATGTTATTACTGTTGAAAGAAGACCTTGTATTGAATAAGCGGGTGAGACGGTGTTTCACCCGGTTTCTCAGGGAGAACGTGGAAGCATTACTCTGATACATGCATAATGAATATGGATGAGGCTGTATCATTTCAAATATCCCCTCTGCGCTACATGCACGACCACACAACCGTCAGCTGAACCCCTGAGTGCATTTTCAGTAAAAGTCCGATGTTGCATATTTTTAACAGCCTGAAGATAAGTGTAAATCGATGCATACTCATTTGTGGATTCGGATTTTCAAGATAAATATGACATTTTATTAAACATGTTTCTTTTATATTGACATAACTTTCCCCTGACTTCTTCTCCTCATTAGCGCTACATTCTGAAAGCCTAAAAGGAACCTCTGAGCGTAAAGTAGTGATTCACTTCAAAATGAGCTTTCACTGTCAACTGAGTTTTGGCAGTTGCTTTTTGACCGGCCACAAAGCAGTACCTTTGCTATCGTGATGAACGGCTATCCCTTTATACCCTCTGAAATAATAAAGATCTGCTGTTCCAATTAAAAAGTTTGTGTTTGGAGTCACATCTGTTTATTTCTCTTTTAAATCCTAGTTCTTACTTGAGAGGGAGCGCGCCGCCATCCTGGCCGAGGCCAAGACGGACGACCTCATCAGCGAGGCGCCAAAGCCGGCACTCGACAAAAGTGGAGAGTGGAAGGAGACGTCGGGGGAGATACAGTGGGTGGCGGCCGAACCCAACGACAACCAAACGGAGACGAAAGAGGACGAGAAGAAAGAGGAGGAAGAGGAAGAGTTGGATCTGAATAAAGGTAGACGTTTGAAGTTGTGTCTGTGTAAGAGGAGCTCTGGCTGGAGTTCTAATCAAGATAGAAATGTGGTTAATGTTGCAGTAATGATTGCTGTGTAGCGGCAACTTCATTACCCTTCTTGCTTCTCAACTAATTAAGGCTGAAGCAACAGAAATCTGACATGTGAGAGATTGTCTTAGGTCTACGAATGGCAGTATAACAAAGCATTGCAAAGCCTGTATACAGGGTGTATCCACACTGTCTGAAGGGATTAGGACATGAATTACTGAGGGCGGAACATTCAATATATTGTGATTTTTCAAGCGAGTTTCTCAACGGACATTTCTACCATTTTCTTACATTGCAAAAAGCAAATAATGCATTGAGAAAGTAACTTATAATAAAAACAATCACTAGTTCCCACTCTACACCCACATTATTTCTTTGCCATGTAGCTTCTCTATGTTTTAAATGAATTGTGCAAACACAACTGAACCAATGTGCTCATGTACGTTGCTGTTCACATGGTTGGGAAATGCAGACCTGCTTTCTTTCTGCTGTTCCATCGAGCCAAACGGCACAGTAAAAAGTGCCCTATTGACTATTTTAATCCCCGAACGTGTCACAGTGCAGCCTGTTGAGGAGCTGGGAAGTGAATTATCGCTGCAAAGTTGCTCTCACAGCAATGTTTCCAGCCAACATTTATTTTCAGCAGTTCTTACCATCATAGGTTGAAACCTTCAGAAAGACGCAGTGTATGTATCCGTGAAATGTGAATCTTTTTCTATCTCCCCTGTGTCTGCTGTAGCTCTGCAGCACTCAGGCAAGCATATGGAGGACAGCATTGTTGCCTCCTACACCGCTCTGCTGCTGGGCTGCCTCTGCCAGGGAAGCCAGGTGAGACACACACACACACACACAGAGTTTATGATTTAAGATTTATTTCCCCACTCAAAGATATTTATGTCGTTGCTCACCCACCTTTTTGCCCCTCAGATAAATTTGACTACTGTGAGACAGCATCTACCTAAAGGGGACTTCTCCATCATGACAGAAATGCTGAAGAAGTTCTTGAGTTTCATGAACCTCACTGTGAGTATGACTGTAAAGACTGACCTTCTGTCATCAGCAATGCTTTCCTCATTACGATGACTGGCACTTGTTAGAATTAAATTATGGTATAGAGCTATAGGGACACATTGAATACATTCTCCTTCCTAAAAAAATTGCAATCATTTTCATCAACATCAGTATTTTCTGTATTCATCTCAAAGTGTTGATGCAATCAAAGCTCCAGGCAAATTGTACTGAAGTCAAAAAGGGGGCTTTAATTGGACTTATTGAGGGAAAAGCACATTTTGTGCCCTCTATTAAGTCAACATTTTTGACGGTTCTCACACAACTGCAGTTCTCAATCTCATTTTTTTTTGGCACCTTTTATTCGGTTCAGAAAATACTAAAGGAAGCTTTTATTCTGTTTATCTCATTAACCCTGAGATTTAGTTGTGAATAATGTCTGGAATGGCTGTAAAAACCAATGAAATATAAAAAGACACTGTGATTGTCTTCAAAAATATCTCATTAGCTTCTTAGCCAGTCTAAAAGCACTTGCAAAGCACTTAGCTTATATAAAGCCTCTGTGCAAGTAATGTGTCATTATCACACACAATACGACAAATAAATTGTTATCAATTAATTCTTGTGTCTCCAGGCAGCCTGATTCAAGTAGTGATACGAAGGATCATTTAAAAATAAGTCCAGCCTTATTATTAAACTGGACAGATGTGCGTTTTGCAGCAGCTTTGAAAGTGACTCATCCCGTCAGAGCTGAAGACTGGAACCATCTGTTTCATAAATATCCCCTTTTAATGAACAGAAGCTCAAACATCCTCCAAAATGTTTGCCGTCTGTTTCTAAAGACTGAACAAGTACAGTAGTATGTTTCCTCAAACTCTTGTCTTTCTCATTCTGTTTGCTCTCAGTGTGCGATGGGCACCACGGGACAGAAGTCCATCACTCGGGTCATCGAATACCTGGAGCACTGTTAACAGACAGCCAGACCAGGACCTCACACTCTGCACATTAAAGGGACCCCTGGCTCTTCTGGTGCCCCGTCCCCGACAGGAGCCACAGGGGGGGGGGGGTCCATCGGAGACTCAGCAGCGTTCCTTTGACTTCACCAGATCAACAAATGCTGCGCTCACTCTGAATTGCTACCGATGAAGGCGTGAACTCGCAAAAAGTTTCCCTCTCTCTGGAGCACAGCCCGAACCAAAGCCCTGCTAGCTGACAGACATCACATTTCTTCAGTTCCACATTTGATTAGTCAGGAGATTCATCCTCAGGTTCCTGGGAATCAGGCAGAGGCTAACGTGTCATAATAATCTGTGGAATCATCTTATATGATAATGGACTCACAGACGTGTTCTTGAAACATCTTTAAGAGGTTTAACGGTCTGATGGTCCGCAGCCTGGTCTCATTCCCGGTCACTTAGCCCGAGTGTAAACCTCTGAATGAAATGTTATGGATCATTACATTTTAATCTCATCCACATCAAAGCCAAGGATGAAATCATTGATAAGCATGAAACACAATCATTTTCATGGATGTTAGAATGACGTCTCTATGTAAACTCGTGTGGAATGATTTTGGACGCTTACACCCGTTAAGCTTAATGTTTGCAGTTGGCTTGAATGTTGAAGGGAAGCAGAGTTTTTTTTTAAATCTTTGATTTTTATGTTTTAATTGTGCCCGTTAATTTTGTAAAACGGTGCGGGTTAGCAAGTTGCTTAGGCGCAATGTTATGCGCGTATCTTATATGTTTTTAGACTTGTTTTAAGTTTTTCTTCAGGGCATTTTTTCCTCACCCAACTCATCAATGACGTTTAAAGGACTGCGCGATATGCTCGCTTTGATAGGGGGAAATTACACGCTATTATGAATTTAAATTTTCATTCTTACAAATCATTAATTTGATCCTATTTTACTTTGTTTTGCTTATTTAAATTCAAATAAAATGAAGAGTTTGTAATAACAATATGCATTGAAACTAGGGCTGCACGATATTGAAAAAAACTGACATTGCGATTTCCCCCCCCCCTGCGATATATATATATATATATATTGAAACATATGAAAACATACAGGAATTGAAGAAAAGACAGTTTTTTTTCCCCCGCAAACCATCCTTTCTTGAACTTTAATGCTATACAATTGGTATTTTTTTAACTATTTAACCGGATGAAGGATTTTAGTCACGGACTTCTGGATCTTAAGTTATCAGAGCAACAAGCTGAGTTAGCTCGGTTATCCTGCTGTGATCTGATCAAGAATGATTGTGATTGGTGGTTTGCTGTGCATGCAGAGCCTGCATGTCACTCACTCAAGTACCCCTGACATGAGAGCCGCGCAAGTTTTCCTTTTGTAGCAAGCAGGAAAATAATTGTAACATGACGTGTTTGAGTTCATTTGCCTACTTAATATCGCACGTCCTAAAAAATAATTTGAAAGAAATTTTAAAAAATCGTCACGTCCTGCGATGTGAATATCGCGCATGCGCATATCGCGGTTATCGTCACGACACGATATATCGTGCAGCCCTAATTGAAACTCACAGGTATAACAGATGTGATGAATTACTCAAACATGTGATGGTTGTGCTTCCTTTTTGAATTTGAAATGAAGTTATTTTTTTCTTTTTAAATGTATTTAATTTAATGCTTTCTCCTCCTGTTTGTAAATGCAACGTTTTTACCTAGTGAGATGCCATTAGTGTCTAAAGTTTCCCATCCTGTTTCATTAAGATATATCCCATATGACACAGCTCAGTGGCTGGACAAAGAACATGCGGAGCAGTTACTTTTTTCTCTCATGTTAATTGGCATTGGGGATTTACTGATGGCGCCACATTTCTGTATGTCCAGCCACATGTAGCTTCATGTTTTAGTCTACACAACATTCATTAAGCTCCCATTAATTTATTATTTTGGTGTCATTGTACTTGTGCACATTAATCTTCAAACGCCTCTGTCTTGTACTGCTCACATGTACGATCACTGATTTGAATGACAGCCATACCTGTAAAAGCAGATTAGTTGTATCTGGTTTGTAGGCGGCAGTGAACATAGTTGCTACTGTGTTTACTGCGTCCGATTACTTTGCAAAATTCTGGTCTGAATGGAATTTTAGATTGTAAATACTCCTGTACATAGCGGTTAATGGACATTTAAAAATGCTTAGACTACTTTTTTCCCTGAAGCTGATATTTTTATTTTATACAATATTTCTGGGTTGTCATTTGGAAAAACAAAAATCGCAGGAAGTGGAGAAAAAAAAAAGTTTGTACTCGTTTCAAGGACACTGTCTTTGGTTACAATGTAAATAATTGTATCTGAAAAAGAAAAAAAAGTTGCTACTTTCAATACACTCCCTGTGTTTCCTTCCTTGAGCTGTTTAACAACAGGAATGCATTCTCTCATTTCCTGACTCGATTTGTCGACTGTTGTGAGGGAAACACTTTACCAAACAGAAGCGGTGTTTAGTTTCCTTTTGGTATTCATGCATGTGGCCGCCACTGAAAGCTTACATTTGTATTCCAGCTCGACTGTTATACCTTCAACGCTTTAAGTGAGAGAGTGTGTGTGGTGAAGGGTCCCTCTCCGCGTGTGTCCGTGCGTGACCTCGATTTGTTTCTCGTCCCTGACAAACTGGCTGGGATGGAGTGAGAGTCCAAAGCGTGGTCGGTATACTTAACAGCACTCAGCGGGGACAGTTTGTGGACGCAGACCCTCAGTTTGACTGACTGCTGCATAATGGAAACAAGAGATTCTTGGTGCCGTTGCACACTGAGAGGCAAACTTACAAATAGCTCGGGGCGCCTGGGGACTGTAGTAAAATACTATCTGGAAACAGTGATCCCACGCAGGCGACAGCTGTGTCAACCGTGATACAACAAGCGGGGACAAATGCGGGATTTAAATAAGAAAAGTCAGGATTTGCCAAGACAGGGTTATACATTTGATAAACAGTGCACAAATAACATGTAATTATGTCTCGCGTGCAAATATATGATTAGACTAAGGTGGTGGCACAGATTTAAATACCAAAGAGCCGTTATGTAGATGCCAGGCACCTCTGCCTTTCATCTGCTGCTATACATTATACATGACGCTCCTTCAGCTGTGGGAAGTCAAAGGCAGAGCGAGCGTTTCTCCTGTGATGATCAGTAGCAGGAAGGTGGATGAGGGTAAACAAGAGGGGGGGGAGAGCGCATTGCTTCCTATGTGTTTACAAGATTGATAAGAAGTCCTCCACTGAGAGAGAATGCGAGGGAAGAAAGAGGGCGAAAGGGATGCAGAAGAAGGGATTAACGTTTCCCAGCTGCCAATCAAAAGCCTCTCTGTGAAGCTGTGTAGCTAAGGGGGAGAACTACAACTGCATTTTGCAGCATTCATCCTTTCATCTCCCTCCGCTCTGGACGTGTTTTTCCCTGCCTCGACTCAATTGTCTCTTCAGCCTTCCCTCTCTCTCCCCTGAGCTCATGCTGTTACTTTTTTTATAACCTGTTTTTCTTTTTCCTGAGCTGTTCATTGCAACATTTTCTGCAGCAGAACTGATCTTCTTCAACTTGATTTTCTGTCTTGTAAATGGGAATTTTGAATTAGTCTGCAGGTGTACATTTTGTCTTCTCATCTTCCTGCTGTTTCCTCTGAAGGCAGAAGGCCTCAGAGCCACTAGGTGGTGTGAGTACTCTGACCGCAGTGCCTGAGCAGCTGGAGTGAAGTACACGGTACACCCACATGCATTTTTTGTACCAGCAAACACACACACACACACACACACACAAGTATCTTCTCATCAGCGGTGTTGCCTACTGATTTCCCCTCGAGCTGTAAGAACCATGCTGTCTTTGGAGAGATTACCGCCCTCGCCTCACTGATGCAGTCTCACATGCACACACACTCAGTCTCACATGCACACACACTCCCGCAGAGTGCAGCTGAAACATTTATGAAGAGGCTCAATTGTTACGTTGCTAGCCATTGACACCCAGATGCAGTTCATTTAAATCAAGCTGTCACATGGCGGAAACAGTGTGCCGCATGTGCACCAACACATGAAACGGACGGGGAAGTGCAGAAGTGTTCATCTCTGAAATCTGCAGGGCTCTGAGGGATTTAGATGAAGTGGTTGAAGATTTATAAAAAAAGAAATTGCCTTTTTGCTCCTTTTTAAGAAGTTGTATTCATATTGCAGCATATCTAATGTGTGTTTAACAGATGTAGCTATTCAAGGACACCTCCTTTAAGGAATATACTGGAGCATTCAAACACAGAGAATAGCAGGCTTTTAAAAGTAGCTACTTCAATAACTATTTCAATGTGTTACCGTGAAAAGAACTAAGAGCCATACAACAATGTATAAATACTTCTTTAAATGTTATATTCCTTACCATTCATGGCCAATCTCATAGTAAGACCTAAATCCACAGTTTATCAGACTTCTTTAGCCTGTCTTGCTTCTAATGCTGCATTTACTTCATGTCAGATGGACGGGAAAGATGGTAAAGGTTCCCATGGTAACTAATGGTGATGTTTATCTCACTGGTCACTTCAGGACAACAGCGTGGAGAGTCGGTTGTTTGAGAGTTAAAAATAATGTTTACTTACCATTCAACACTAAATCCACTATGTTGACTTCATTTTATTGTTAGTGGAACTTTAGCAGAAGTGAGATCATGTTTGCTTGGTTTTCAGGCACCCTTATATTGCTCTAATTCAGATATTTTAGATACAAAAATGCCAAGCTATAACAACTTGAGTTGGCATGAGGGCAATTTACGATAGAAAGCCTATTATATATTTTGTATGATAACTCCAATGTGGCTTGAACACATCATACGCCAAAAGCTTACTGGTTTCAAAAGCTACTCACAGTTTTTGTATAAGGCTGATTCATTTGCTAATTATCCTGGGCTCTGAATATTTATGGCAGTAGGAAGGTGTGTGGCAAAAGGACTAAACGTGAACTACAATGCCCTAATTCAACTAAGGGATATGTCGCAAACAGTGTGATTAACGGGTGTGTTTTATGTTTTTACGACGTGAATTGCTGTCCAGTGTAGCTTAATCAGGCAATACTTTTAAGTAGAATCGACCCATGGTTTGTTCTTGCACAATAAGAAAAATCAAGTTTTAAAGTGAATGTTATCATTATGACTGTCTTAAAACATTGATATCAACTTTCATTTCATTTCAAACCTTTATTTATCCAGGTGTATCCCATTGAGATCATTGATCTCTTTTTCAAGGGAGACCTGCTCAAGTAGGTTCCACATGAAACAAAAACAGAACAACAAAAAGGACATCATACAGCATCATTACAGGGATTACAATTTACATAACTATCCATGAACAGGTACCAACAGCTTCCGATTGAGTAGCATCCAACCAGTGGCGGCGCCAGGGTATGGCTGGGGTAGTCTACAGCCATACCAAGAAATGGCTTAGCCCCACCTTAGCCCCACCATGAAAAGTGATGCAAATTCAATTAAATAATAAGCGAAATGCTAAATGTTGAGAACACGGATTGCGAAAATATACGGGTCGTGTCCACAGCACACAAACTGATCCTGCTGTAACAACAAGTGCACCTTACTGATGCAATATATGCTATAAGAGGGGTGCAAGGAATAGTCTAAGTAGTGGGGGAGTTTTATACACTAAAGGTGTGGAAATTCTCTGGCGTTATAATATCAGCGCGGCCGCGGTCAGATCAAAATGCCTCCGAATGCAATTTGAATAGACCTACAGCCAGAGCAACGAAACGTTGGATCTGCGTCATGCCTTATTGATTGAGATCAATCGAAACCGCCATTCAGTATCCCCATTGGATCTTCAACGTGTACTATCATACGTCACGTTCACAGTGATCCCTTTTTATTTACTACAAGACAAATGTGCCGTTTTATTTCATACAGTTCCATTTTGATTGAGACAGGGAAATAATCTAAACCTCACGCGTGGCGTTTCACTGTCAAGGGGGGCGATATAGCGTGTATGTAATTACATTGCAAATACTGACTTGAGCACCACCACTGTATGGGTTAGCCCTACCATAGATTACCCAACA